AACTTACTCTTAAATATCTCCAGAGATGGGGATTCCACAACCTCCCTGGGCAATTTATTCCAGTGTTTGACTTATCTGGTTATCTGATAAGGGTGCTAGTTATGCTGCTCAGCCTTTTTCTGACTCTACCTTTGCTGTTATAATTCTTAAAGATGTCTTCCAAAATCCTTAAATGATCATTATAACTGATTTTAGTCAGTTAATATACAAGAAAAATTATTAAACTGTTATCACTCAGTAACTAAAAATCATCAGGAATCATTATTTTATAGGGTTTTTTAAAACTCCAATGAAACTGAACAAATGCAGGGTAGAAATAGCAGTGCTGGCCCACTTAATTGAAACTGTTATTTTCCCGTTTTGAAGATAATTTGTTTATACTCTGCCTTTTAAGTGCAAGCTGACATACAATGGTTTAAGCAAGACAACATATTTGGATTTTAACATAATTCTGGTTTGAAAGCATCATAGCTGATGTCTAGTTACTGCAGAGGATTAGTGAGAATTTGAGGTCTCAAAAGAATACAAAATAATCTATTGACCTGGACAGTTTGCATAGATTACATGCCTCTGTTAATACTGGGGCTCTATATTGCACTTTTGAGGTAGATGCAGTATATAACCTATATTTAAAATAACAAATGACAGCTGCTATTTCTTTCCCTCCTTTTCCAATCTGCCAACATGTCAAACTGCAATAAGAATCCTCCCCTGCAGTTGCGTATTTCTTTTCTTATGCCAGGCTTTTGATTAATACTCACGTTCCATAGTGGTCAGACAAGAGCCCTGCCATTTCTTAAACCCGCAGGGAAGGCTGCAAGCTTTCTCCTAAATGAGGAATAAAACAAGAATTATTTGGGTGGACAAATAGTCTTTGATTTATAATGGACTTTCTATATCCCAAGAAGCTTCTCTTTCTGTGAGTAGAGCTGGTTTAACTTTTAAGTCGTATTTAACTTTTTTTCTTAAGGAAAATATTTATAATTGAAAAATGCTCAAAGGTGTGAGTGGATATAATAGACTCATCCAGTGGTGAAAGTAACTCAAAATTTCTTAGCGGTATGGTTGTATTGCAATCCAGGTCCTTGCCAGCTCTTTAAATAGCTCCCTTCTGTCTTTTGCCATGGTTCAACCAGCTCTTGCCAGAGCTGCACACTAGTAAACTTATTTTTACCTCTGGACTGATCTCTCATTGACAAGGGTTGGGGGACTGAACTGAAAGTTATTAGGCACATTATACACAGATTTTATATAATTTAGAATTCAGAAATATGAGCCAAGGAAAACAGTACAAGTTCCACTAAGAGCATATATATGATTGAAATACTTAATTGGATAACTTGAGATGTATAGACATTTCTTTTTAAAGTTCCTGCCCTGGGGAATATCTAATTCCTGTCCCATTCCTCCTTTACCTTCCCAGATAGTCTTTCTCCACAATCCTGCTGTTTCATGTTGTGTTTGTGTGTTTGACAGACAGTATGGAACTCTGATCTTTAACACACATGTACCATCAGTTCAAAATAACTGCCAAAGGAAGAAAGTGTGAGGGACAAATGGCATGCAAGATTTTGTGGGAAGTTAGGAGGCAACAGCAGAGGTGGCAAAAGTCAACTGTTGGTGGAGTGGTGTGGGAATGTAATGGTGGCCAGGATGTGGGCAGAGGTGGGTACATCTGTGGCCTGTAAAACTTTTTGGATTTGTAAAGAGAAAAGGAATATTTAGAGAGAATAAATGGAAGTGTGAGGGAAAGCACATAATAATCAAGGAGATTGATGAAATAAAGTAAACTTGAAAGAGCAAGATTACAGTGTTTAGGTGACATGTCTTATATTTGTCTGGCTAGTGTCCCCCTGGCAGGATGTGAGTTAGATTGCAGAATATAATTAGGCATGTAACAGAGCTAATAAGACAGGTATTTGTAAAACATTGCATGCTATAGTGCCTGAATTTTTCACCTTTTTTGTGAGAGTCCAAATGTTGTAGTTTGTTAGTTCACCTGTCATCTACATCCCTCATTTTACAAGGAGTTTGCCATTTAACAGTGCTCTTCAGTGAATACTCTTGCTAGCTGATTTGGACGGAAGAGTAAAGAACAAACTTGAGGTACCAATGTGAGGAATGGCAAATCAGAAACATGTTCTTTTACATAGCTGTATCTATAGCTTTCTGATGAAACATTGATTATTCTAAGATACTTAATATTTCATACAGAAGGCCAAGTGTATATTGAAATAAGGTATTACTATAACCCACCTAAATGCCTTCGTATCCCTTAGGAGGATGAGACGATGCCTCCGGCTGCTGCTGGACTCTGCAGTGCAGCTGTTGCAGAATGTCCCCGTTTTCCTAATGGTAGAGAGGTCACGAAGGTTAAAAAAAGGGATAAAATGGTAATCTCCTTACAATCAAGAAATATTTCATCTGTGCCAAAAAAAAGTGCCTCTTCCTCCAAGAATCTACCTTTGCTAATACTAGACACTTTTCAGGGTCTAAAGGTATAACAGAATGCCTCAGTTTCCAGAGAGGCAGTTACTCAAAACATCTTCATCCAGGTCTGTTGCCTGCATTTCAGGCATCATGACACTTATCTCCTTCCTCATTGGTCTGGTTAAACAAAATAGGCAGTCAGTGCAGCTCTGCAAGACTTCAGAGGAGCTTTAGAAAAGCCAGTCTCCTAACTTAACACGAGCCCTCATGCAAAGTCATTTTCCTGTTCTATTTGCCTCTAATGCTAGAATAACTCCCCCAGCCTAGAAACATATTGTTACCTTGGTTCAAGACCTAGCTTTCCCACAAAGCCCGACAGCCCCTCTATCCACTCTGGTTCTTTGATGGATAAACACTCTCAGTAGCACTCAGTGCCAGATGCTTGCTATAGCCTCTACAAAACGGACTTCAACCCAGAATCCTCATCACAATGAAAAGAGGCATTTAGAGAGCAGAAACTACCATTTCAGAAGATGAGCAACAGGCATGTTTATATGCAACAAGAGTGTATGCATGCACATTTTTATGCCCAAGACCCTACTTACAGATTGGGCTTTGTTTGTTAGGCTAAGTCTCTGCTAAGGGATAAGATCAAATTAAGATGCGCAACTCTCCAGCTACATTAATTGTGTAGCTTGAGTTGAAGTATCTTAAATCAAATTTTGGCACTGTCCGCACTGCGGGAGTTAGACGGGAGCACACTTCTCCCTTCAACTTCCCTTATTCCTCATAGAAGCAGGACTACTGGCGTGGACAAGAGGACCCTCTTGGTTCAGATTAGTGTGTTTTCACTAGACCTGCTAATTCGAACCCTGAAAGATCAACTTTGGCTGCTTTGACCTTTGTAGTGTAGACATGTCCTTAGGGAGTTACCAAAAGTTGTGAAATCAGAATACCCCCAGAAGAGGAAGAAATGCATTAGGTAGAGGATGACCAATGGGGACCATTCCCCATGCCTCAAGCTCAAAAGAGGGAAGGCCTTCTCCCACAAAAAATTTTCTAGTCTTAGTATGTGAATACATTTACTAGGGATTAGCACTGTGGCGATTGATCCACCATGAAAGACCCGCTAAATTGACCACAGATCACTTTTCTGTCGACTCCAGTTCTCCACTGGAATGACACATGTAAAGTAAGTTGACAGAAGATTTTGTTAGCCACTGCTGTGTAGACACCGCAATAAGTTGACCTAAGCTTTGTTGACTCCAGATCTGTGATTTAATCTTATAATACCAGGCCTCAGTGTCGTTGGTAATTCATGTGGTTCTAATGCTATTCAGATCATCCTAAGTTTAATGAGTGTTCAATAGAATGTTGCATTTTCACCTTCTTCCAACTTCAGTTCTCAACTGCCTGCTAGAGAGTTACTCTGCTGGCTTGGTTCCACTTTCTTTTGTAACATAGCCAATTAACTCTTTATAGTCACTCAAAATGAAAACATTAAAATTAGTTTTAAATATTGTATACTGAAATCTGACACTAATAACAATCCTAAAACTCTTTCTGCTAAGAAAGCTAAATCATTTAAACAGTTTTCGGAAAGCAAATTTAGTAAAGTATAAAAATGTAATACTAAAAGTTATTAATCCTGATTAAAATGTATGTTCCAAGTAGAATCCACAGCCTAATAGGTAAAGCAATTTGTAAACTTAGGTTTCTTACTCTGATGCACTAAACTTACAGAATTTGGTATGGTAAGAGGACTTTTCTGTGTTTCTTCCTCTTCCCCCTATCCTCAAACCTTTGAGTTCAGAATTACTCAGTCTCAGTACTCAAGAATGATTTGCTATGACAAGGTTTGATAATCAAACACCATTAATAACTTTGTGAGAGAATATTTTACAGTATGAAAAAGCAGCTTTGCTAAACTAATTTAGATGCTTTTTTTAATATTCATAAATAGAGAACCCTATTTCAAATACCATCATCTTTACATTATCAAAATATTTGCATTAATTTTTTTATTTTTGTATTATTGTATGCCATTTCCTAAGAGACATATAAGAGGGTTGAAATAGGGTTCTCTATTTATGAATTCTGAAAAAAGCATCCAAATTAGTTTAGTAAAGCTGCTTTTTCATACTGTAAAATATTCTCTCTCAATGTTATTAATGGAGTTTGAGAAACCTTTCATAGCAAATCATTATTTTGCAGAAGTTAAAGAATGTAAAGAATTAATTGCTGCTGTCATTTGGAACTAATCTGCAAAGATTTTAATCAGCTTTTTTATTGCTCCTATTTTATTTATTTAATTATTTATTTATTA